TTGGGGGTGCATTGAAACCTGGAAGCGATGTGTTCTCCTCCATGACACAGGATGGGTGTGTTTACACTCTGATGCTGCTGTAACGGCTAGTTTCAAATGTACATTTTAGTTAAATTTTTGCTTAAGGATGTGATTCGTATAGGACTGACCGTACTGTATTGTTCCGCATTAGATGTAGATGGAAAAACTTGACAGATGATTTCGCTTGCAGAAGAAAAGAAGAAATATAAGCGAGGATATGCGCAAATATTGTTCGATGCATTCGATCTGAATAAAGATGGAAAGTGCGTTTTTGCGGGTTTTTTTTTGATTTTGATTTTAAAATTTAAATTTATTTTCTTAATAGAAAAAGGGAATGCTGAAATTGGCAGCTGCATCGGTGGCGAGAAGAAATATGATGATGAAACAATGGCTGATCGACATCTCAAAACACAATAAGTGTTTTCGGCCTGATTCTACAAAAACCTGAAAAAATGTAGGAACTAGTGACAAATAGGGGGTAAGGAATGAAGACAGTCAGCCTCCTGTCCTCTCACTCCGGTTGCCTTGTGCTCCCGTACGCAAACGTCCCACCTTGATATTCGAGTCTCCGCTACGATATAGAAGTGATATGGTTAGAACTGGAATAGTACAGTATTGGTTGGTGGCAAGGATATGCTGCGGCCGGTCAGGTGCCACGCCGATACCGTTCTTCCGTGGTTTTGCGTTTTTTTTAAATGAATTTTGTTTTGCTATGGGGCTCTTCCCAGCAGCTGGAAGTCCGTAGGCGTCACACGTGAAACCAGTTGTTTTTAAAATACCCCCGAAGAGGGAAACTATTTGCAGTCTTGCGAAGGGCATCGTCGTTTTTGCCTGGATTTCCGAGAAATTTCAAAGGATTTTGTTTGTAGCGGTTGGTTGCTGTTGACAGAGTATTAACATGGGGCTAATTTCGAATACACTGTAGCAAAATATAGGTCACGGGATGTTAAATAATGAACATGATTTGAAAATGGGGTTGCTTCCGATATCATTATTCATATAAAAATCCAGAAAGAAGTAGATTTTGTTTGGAATTGGATTGCAGGGTTCGCTTTGAAGAACTGAAAGCATTCAAAGAATTTGATGGGGGCGGCGATGGAGTCGTTTCTGATGATGAAGCAAAGGTTACCCTCAACTACCTTTTACATTACATTAAATATTTGATGGGAGTTATCGGCAGAGTCATTCTTCGGAAATAATGCCTGGATAATTGTATTAGCTTCCCCGGCTACGCAGCCGGCAATCAGTTTGTTTTTATCAATGCTGCATACCTAACGATCCGAACAATTATTTTTGCCTGTTGAAAGCAAAACCAACTCAATGCATTTTGGCTAGGTTTTAGTTGTTTAGCGATTTCCTTGATGTTTTTTAAACATCATAATTCCGCCCCAGATGTTGTCACTTCTGCACCACGATGAACTGATTTTA